AGGGTACCACATGCTGGTATCCTGCAGTGCTAGTGTGATCAGATATGCGGAAACTACACAGAAAATACCAGATATCTATTTTCCAATTTCACGTTGCAAGCTGTCCTGGACAAGTTCAAGCTGCCTAAACAGTGAAAAACCGCACTGAAAAAACAACTAGACTGGTAAAATTTCTTTCTTCTATTTTTTTTTTTAACGTGCTGTGTGAATGGGAACACAAACATACTTGAGGTTCAAATCCGACTGCAAAAGTAGAACTACACATCAAAGAGATGCTGCACCATTATTAGACATCCCTATATCCTCTCCAAAAAAACTTCACAGCAACTTATTGAATTTAATTATATAATCACTAGATGAGTAGAAATTTCAGTTTGCAGTATCATAAAGGTTCACTTATCTTTTAAAGAGTAAGTGTACTTTCTGATAAAATAATTTATCCTGTCTGCATAGGCCACATGATCAAAAATATTCAATCTACCCCAACCATGGGTGTTTATGGGACCTAATATTTAGGTACAGCCAGCGACAAAGTGGTGTTGGGTTAGATACTTTTCAGAGGAACAGGAGAGCTAAGCACATGAGATAAATTTATGCTATCTGAAAGTACATTTATCGTAACACTTCAGGTCCGCTCTATAGCAGTTTTATTGCTACAGGGCGGCCCTCCTGTGCAAAATCACACACACACATATATACATATATATATACTATATATATATATATATATATATATATATATATATGTATATATTACACACATATATATATATGTGATTTTTTGCACTTCTGCCATAGGGAACGTGCACCGCCAGCGAATTGCTTCTACTGTTAACTCTCACATCAGAAGCCGATCTGGGAGTGCTATGTAAACAGGTAGAGCTCAAGGGTGGAGTGAAGGATCCTGTGTCCCTGCAAAGCTGGGAACACAATGCTTCACTTCCCCTAGTAAAAGCACCACCTAGTGTACACCAAGCACATAGATATGCACACAGTTAACCCTTTGATCAACCTAGATGTATAACTCCTTCCCAGCCAGTGTCATTAGTAGTGCCACTGGTTTCCACAAAGTGTCAGTTAGTGTACAAGTGTCCGCTGCAATATCGCGACCCCCACTATAAGTTTCTGATATCGCATTGCCATTACTGGTATTAAAAAAATAAAATAAAAAAGTTCCAGCACACGTCTCATAGTTTGTAGACGCTACAAACTTTTCAGAAAAACTAATCAGTATAGGCTTATTGGGATTTTTTTTACCAAAAATATGTTGCAGAATACATTTTGGCCTAAATTTATGAATACATTTGATATTTTAAACTTTTTTTTATTGGATAGGATTAATAGCAGAGAATATAAAATATGTTTTTTTTTTCAAACTTGGTTGTTTTTTTTTGATAAAAAGTAAAAAATGCAGAGGTGATCAAATACCACCAAAGGAAAGCTCTATTTGTGTGGAAAAAAATTTACATAAATTCAGTTTATGTACAGTGTATCATAACCATGCAATTGTCAGTTAAAGTAAAGCAGCGCCGTATCGTAAAAAATGGCCTAGTCAGGAAGGGGGGTAAATCTTCCAGAAGTCAAGTGGTTAAAGAAGATATATCAGTATAATTTTTTTTTTTTTTTAAGTTTTGTCCCTAATAGGACTAAGTACATGTAGTACTTTGTCCCATACCTCTAGGTGCTTTCTAACCCCAGTTATGACATCCAGCCTGCCCCCGACCTTTCCGGTGGCGGCCGATTTGACAACAGCTTTAAAAAAGATGGCTTATTCATGGCTGCAATATCTCAGCTATAAGCACTTTCCCATAGCTCCCAACTGTCCCTGATCTTGAGGGACTGTACCTCATTTGAAACAAAGTCCATCATTTGTCCCTCATTTTGGTCTGATCTATATAGTAGTATATAAAATGCACTATTTATCAAAGTGTTTTACAGTGCTAAACTTTTCATATACATTTCTAAATTACTGCTTCTGTAAATTTCCAAAGCCAAAATAAAGGCATAGTAGTGGTCATACAATTTGTTGTATAATTCTCCTTTAAGGGGTGTGTGGCAGGGGGTGTGTCCTATGCTTAAATACTGTTGCTAATAGATGTTCCCCATTTAGAAAGCTGGGAGGTATGCTTTCCCGAGATGAGCAACAGCAATAGGAATGCAGAGAAAGGGGGGGGGGGGACGACATTTGGAAAACACTTCTGAACGATGGAGACTGACTGCTGGAAAACATAGGTTAAAAAATGTCTGTTTAGCCGCATTTGCATACCGCATTTTTGCGCGTTTATGTGCGTTTTGTATTTAGAAGCGTTTCTTAAAGATAACATCAGGAAATAGAGAGCAGAAGCAGAGAGAGCAGAAGCAGAGAGAGCAGTAGCAGAGAGAGCAGTATGTGTTGAGATTACCTATCTTTTCTGGTTGTATTCGCTATGGATCCCATGAGCATAATGCAGCACGTTCTACCATTTATTCCTTCACGTAAAACCTGTGTTGGTTTGCTAGGTCCATTTGAATACATGGAAAACACTTTGCATGCATTTCTGATGATGAAGAAAGGCTCTGGACAGCATTTGGATATGGAACAGTTAAAAAACATTTCTAAAACGCAAACGCTTATAAATGCAGTTTGCCGTGTTTACATGCGCTTACAAGCATTTGGAACGCTGATAAAATCTACTCCTGAATGCAGGTTTGGTGCTTTCAAAAAAACCACTGTAAACCAGGGGCGGACTGACAACTCATGGGGCCCCTGGGCAATAGGAGATCATGGGGCCCCTGTGTCCTCACCCACACTCAAAACCACACCCAAAAAAGCCTATGAAAGGTACTAAGGGCATCTCATGGGGTCCCCTACTAACCCTGGGCCCTTGGGCAGTGCCTGAGAGCCCAAATGGTCAGTCCACCCCTGCTGTAAACTCAACTGCCTGTATACGACTGTAAATGACAGTGTAAATGGACACATAGGAAAACATTAGCGAGAGTTCAGGGGCTGCTGAAAAAAAAAATGCAGAAAAGCTCCTAAATGTGAGTTTATCAGCTGCAGTGTACATGAGTCCTAAATCAGCCATCTACTTCAGAGTTGTTGTACGATCAAGAGGGGAGGAGAGCAGGCCAAACCTCATAACTGGGGTTAGAAAGTACTTACAACCATGGAACAAAAAGTACTACATGTACTTTGTCCCATAGGGGACAGAACTGTAAAAAAAAAAAAAATATGATATATCCTCTCTAACGTTATGTCACAACAGACCAAAATCAAAGAGGTAGGCCCCCTTTTATATATATTTTAGGCCAGAAGGACTCCAAAAAGAAGTGAGTAGCCTGGGTTTGTAAGAAACATCTTTTCATTATGTTGACTTGGCTGCACACAGGAGTCAACACCTGAATTAGTATTACAACATTCATCTTGATAAAAAGGGGTAGCAGTTATGGACTTGGCATTCCAGCAACCTCACTGTCTGCAGCATCCACATAGCCTAATTCCCCTTCCTTTCATACCTGCTACTGGATTGTGCTGTAAGCATCTAGAAGAAAGAAGCAAGTGTAAAAATAAGTTCCCTTTCCTCTGAACAATTAGCGATTCTAAAGAGAAAAAAGCCTCAGGGTTTTGATTATGTGATCAGCCCTGGAGGGAACTCTGCTATTGCCTTCTATTTATCCAGTTTCCGCAAGATTAGTACGTTAAATTTAAATTTATTTTTGAGTACAGGTCTGCTAAAAAGTAAACCTTTCCAAAAAAAAATAGGGGCACTGCCTTTTTTGACCTCCTAAAATGGAGCAATGCAATTCTCAAGAGTATTTGTTCTTGTCTTCACAGGTGTGACAGGGTATCTTTAATTTAAGCACATTGGTATTTGTTTTGAATCCACATTTCTGCATGTTTTCTGGAAGAAGCTATAAACTGTAAGAAAATATTTGATGGTTGATATGGTTACCATCAACATACAATACTTCGAAATGAAATCTAAGATAAACTTACTGTAGGAGCAACATAGCAACATAGACACTTGTGGTAGCGAAATCAATGTACAATGTAATCAATGTATTTATGCAAAGCTACACAAGATGAAAAACTCATTTCACCACTAGAGGTCATCAAAGTTTTACTATTGTAATATTCACCCAATAGAGTTCACTAAAGACCATAGAGTCAGTTCACAAAGATACAGTAATCACACAATTATTATTATTATTATTATATACAGTATTTATAAAGCGCCAATGGTTCGCTCAGCGCTGTACATTACAAAGGGGGACAGAACATGTGACAGAAGAATACCAATACAATGCAAAACATGAGGGGATCGAGGGCCTGCTCTTTCGAGCTTACAATCTAGGAACACAATAGAGGGTTTCAATAATTTAGCATTGACTACATACAAAAAACACAGATTTAAAATTGTGCAGTGATTGTTTGTGAAGTGAAGATTTTGCTGACAATGTTTCTAAGGTTAAATAATGAATGCAATTAAATTGCTAAAAGTATTTGGGACGCTTTTACAAGCACATTAACTTTACTGGCATCCCAGTCTTAGTCTGTAGGGTTCAATATTGAGTTGGCCCATCCTTTGCAGCTATAACAAGCTTCAACTCTTCTGGCAAGGCTGTCCACAAGGATTAGGAGTATGTCTATGGGAATGTTTGACCATTCTTCCAGAAGCGCATTTGTTAGGTCAGGCACTGATGTTAAAACAGAAGGCACTCTAATTAATTTCAAAGGTGTTCTATTGGGTTGAGGTCAGGAGTCTGTGCAGGCCAGTCATGTTCCTCCACCCCAAACTCGCTCATCCATGTCTTTGTGGCCCTTGCTTTGTGCACGGGGGCGCAGTCATGTTGGAAGAGGAAGGGGCCATCCCCAAACTGTTCCCACAAAGTTGGGAGCATGAAATTGTCCAAAATGTCTTGGTATCCTGACGCCTTAAGAGTTCCCTTCACTGGAACTAAGGGGCCAAGCCCAACCCTTGAAAAACAATCCTACACCATAATCCACCCTCCACCAAACTTTACACTTGGCACAATGCAGTCAGGCAAGTATCGTTCTTCTGGCAACTGCCAAACCCAGACACGTCCATCAGATTTTCCGACAGGGGAGTGCGATTCGTCCCTCCAGAGAACACGTCTCCACTGCTCTAGAATCCAGTGGCGGAGTGCTTTACACCACTGCATCTGACTCTTTGCATTGTACTTGGTGATGTAAGGCTTGAATGCAGCTGCTCAGCCATGGAAACCCATTCTATGAAGCTCTTTACGCACTGTTGTGTTAATCTGAAGGCCACACGAAAATTGGGAGGTCTTTAGCTATTGACTCTGCAAATAGTTGGCAACTTCTGCGGACTGTGTGCTTCGGCATGTGCTGACCGCGCTTTGTCATTTTATGTAGCCTACCACTTCATGGCTGAGTTGCTGCTGTTCCCAGTTGCTTCCACTTTGTTATAATACCACTAACAGTTGACTGTGGAATATTTAGTAGCAAGGAAATGTCACGGATGGACTTGGTGGCACAGGTGACAACCTATTACGGTACCACGCTTGAATTCACTGAACTCTTGAGAGCAACTCATTCTTTCACAAATGTTTGTAGAAGCAGTCTGCATGCCTAGGTGCTTGATTTTATACACCTGTGGCCATGGAGGTGATTGGAACACCTGAATCCAATGATTTGGAGGGCTGGCCCAATACTTTTGGCAATATAGTGTATGTCAGGTAGCCTCCCTAGCGGTCTGATTATGTCCATATTTCTGTGCTCAAAGCAGTACATTTTTTTGCATGGAAATATGTAGTTTTTTATTGTAGGCCTGTAATTTTTAGGAATAACTCACTGAAATCTGTCCGAACAAGAGTCTAGTAAACATTCCGGGTATGTTAAAATTTGAAACACGAAATCTTAAATTATAATTTAATAAATAATCATAAAAAATAATAATATAATAATAAATTTAATTCAATAATATAATCAAACCAAAAAACACTGACATTTGAAATAGAGCTCCAAGTTCTCACATCACTGAGCAAAGTCACAAAATCGTTTTCAGTGTCTGATGATGAATTTCCCCACAAATCATTATCACTCAATTCTGCAAGTAGTTCTAATTTATTATCGCTGTTCTCTAGCTGGTCTAAAACCGCTTTTGACCTAAAGGGACACTTTTTGGACGCCATGGACTTTTCTCAGTTTCAAGGCAGAAAGAACAGTAAAAATGCAGGCAGGGCACAGGAAAAAGCACTCTGGAAAAAAATGTATGTGAAATGGTTTGATACAGTAATGTTTTACTATGTGATTTTAGTGAATTTAGTGAATGTCACTTTTAAAATTTTCAAATTTCCCACCAGTTCCGTTCCCATACATCCTGACGTTGCAGGGAACGGAACCCGGAACACAGATGCCGGCATCGGCTGGAGGACATTGCCAGGGACACTGCAGGGGGGACATCGCGGGAGCGCAGGACAAGGTAAGTGCAGAAGAGATCCCGGAGCAATGATGCAAGGTATTCCCGAGTGTAGCTCGGGGTTACCGCTTGTGGTGCTGAAACTTTACCCCGAGCTACACTCGGGAATACCTCCAGGGAGGTTAATTACCTCCTACTCACTCATGTCTGAGCATGTAAAGTGGTGTTGCAAACAGGATGAACGTTCTTAGTAGTGCAGATTTTAGGTTATGGTGGAACAGTTCCTATGGATCCTTTGAAATTGGCCATAGGGAATGTTGTTTTTTTTTCAGTGTTTTAAAATATGAAAAGTCTAATTCTTTGAAATTACTTTTTGAAAAATTTCTGTGGTCACAGAGATACAAAGTAAAAGATCCCAAAAAATCTATTGTGGGGGGGGGGGGGTTATAATTAGAAGTGACTGTGAGGTTTTCTTCATAATATTTACCAACTTGAATACAGTTGTGCTCAAAAGTTTACATACCCTGGCAGAAATTGTGACATTTTGGCATTGATATTGCAAATATGACTGATCATGCAAAAAAAAAATGCTCTTTTTTGAAGGATGATGATCATATGAAGCCAATTATTAGCAATAGTTGTATAGTCAATGAGTTTGTTAGCTCTTACGTGGAAGCACTGGCCATTTGGGTGATTTCTGTTATCATTATGATTTAAAAAGGAGCCAAACTCATTGACTATACACTGACACTAATTGCAATTTAAAAAGCCACAGGTGTGGGACATTAACCTCTAATTGGCATTTTAACCCATGTGTGTCACCTTGTGTGTCTGTACCAAGGCCAAACATTCCAGGGTATGTAAACTTTTGATCTGGGCCATTTGCCATTTACTTCCAAGCTCCTTGAGCGCTTAGTCTACAATCGCCTATGCACCCACCTCACTGACAACAACCTCCTTGATCCACTACAGTCTGGCTTCCGTCCCCTACACTCCACTGAAACTGCCCTACTCAAAATCACTAATGACCTGCTAACCGCCAAAGCTAATGGCCACTACTCAGTCCTCTTACTCCTCGACCTTTCCGCGGCCTTCGACACAGTCGACCACCCCCTCCTCCTTAACAAACTACACTCCCTCGGCATCAGCGACTCTGCTCTCTCCTGGCTCTCCTCCTATCTATCCCAACTCTCCTTCAGAGTTACCTATAACGCTACCACCTCCCCCTCTCTCCCCCTCTCTGTTGGGGTCCCCCAAGGCTCGGTCCTCGGGCCCCTTCTCTTCTCCATCTACACCTCCTCCCTCGGCAAACTGATACACTCCCACGGCTTCAACTATCACCTCTATACCGATGACATGCAAATTTACCTCTCCACCCCTCGCATCGCCCCCTCAGTCTCCGCCCGTATCACCCACCTACTGAACGACATATCAGACTGGATGTCGCTCCATTTTCTCAAATTGAACCTTTCCAAAACCGAGCTCCTGATTTTCCCCCCAGCCCGTGCCCCCCCCCCCCCACCCTCTCCATCACGACCAACAACTCCACTATCAGTCCCACCCCACAAGTCCTAGGTGTCACTCTAGACTCATACCTGTCCTTCCAACCCCATGTCCAATCGTTGGCAAACTCATGCAGGCTCCACCTCCGCAACATCTCCAAAATATGTTCGTTCCTAACCCCAGAGACTACTAAACAACTCATTCACTCCCTTATTATCTCAGGTCTGGACTACTGCAACTCCCTTCTCACCGGCCTACCCCATCGCAGACTATCCCCGCTTCAGTCCATCCTAAACTCAGCGGCCAGACTCATCCACCTTACCAACCGCTCCTCTTCTGCCACCCCCCTCTGTCATTCCCTCCACTGGCTCCCGATTGCCCAACGCATTAAATTCAAACTACTAACACAGACATACAAAGCCATTCATAACGCTGCCCCAAACTACCTCACCAACCTGATACCCAAATACCACCCAACCCGTAATCTTCGCTCCTCACAAGACCTCCTACTTTCTAGCTCCCTGGTCTCCACCTCCCATGCCTGACTGCAGGACTTCTCCAGGACTTCCCCCATCGTCTGGAACTCACTACCCCAATCCATCAGACTGTCACCTTCCCTCCTCACCTTTAGGCACACCCTGAAAACCCATCTCTTCAGGGAAGCCTACCCCACCCTCACCTAACAACCGATCTCCTCCACTCCTCCCACCACTCAATTCCCCACAGCCACTTCCTCCTGTACCACTATCCCCTCCCTCTTAGATTGTAAGCTCGAAAGAGCAGGGCCCTTGAATCCCTCGTGTTTTGTTTTGTCACTGTATTGTCTCATGTTCTGTCCCCCACTATAATGTACAGCGCTGAGCAAACCTTTTAGCGCTATATAAATACTGCATAATAATAATAATAATAATTTGGGTGATTTCTATTATCATTATGATTTAAAAAGGAGCCAAACAACTATTTGATAATAAATGGCTTCATATGACTATCATCCTTCAATAAAAGAGCATTTTTTTGGCATGATCAGTCATATTTTCAATATCAATGCCAAAATTTCACAATTTCTGCCAGGGTATGCAAGCTTTTGAGCACAACTGTATTAGCCTGTATACCTATACTCCTTCATTACCTGACAATTTTTCAGTGCTGTGATAGTGTGACTGACAATTGCTTGGTCATGTAAGACTGCAACCATAGAGTTTGTTCTAGAAGTATTCAGTAACCACTGTCTTTTTATTGTTTACTATGTAAAGACAAAAATTTTGAAAAACCTGTTATAAAATGAGAATGCCAGGACAGTACAAAACACCCTGAAAATTGGAAACTATAAAAAAAGTGCTGTTTAATATAAAATCACATTAGTGTGACTTTTATGTAATGTAGCAAAATGGTAATGTTCAAAGTGAAGCTATGAATTTTACTGTAGGAGTACTTTATTCCCCTTGTGATGCTAAATTGTTAACACAATATTAAGATAAGAATATGTTGGGTTTAGGAGAACACAAACTAGCACAATGGAAACTTTTCTATAGATCTGTCAATCGCTTAATAATTCAGATTAAGTTGTTTTCCTTTATATGAGTGTACAGTGTTTGAAAATATATATACTCTCTGTGTGTGTAAATATATATATATATATATATATATATATATATATATATACGCATCTCAATCACAAACACATTTATATACCGTATATACTATATACACAGTAAAATAGAAAATATGCTTTTTTTTTTATACTTTTTAAAACTTTTCTTTAATGGGGAGGGTCTGGATCTGGTCAGTGGAAACCATATGCAGGCCCCCTTTCCCCCTCCATGCAGCTATGTAGAAACAGACCACTTCTAATAGTGCTGTGGAGCACTGTGCAGCATAATGGAAAGCCCAGAGGCCAATCGTCACAGCTCCTGGTCTTAGCTCTGGGTCCCGGCTACGACAACAGCCAGCAGTTCTTAGACTAAAGCCCCAGGGTTCACAGAAACCATTATTTTACAATGGCACTGGGACAAATAGCCGCTAACCCTGCACCAATTTAAAATGGCACTGTAAGGTAAACCGGATTTCCAGGATCAGAAAACCAGTGCGGACTTTTGTGCATTACTTAGGCAAAAGGGCAATATCAGACATATTGGGGTTTATTTACTAAAGATGGAGAGTGCAAAATCAGACTCACTTCTGCATAGAAACCAATCAGCTTCCAGGTTTCATTGCCAAAGCTTCATTGAAGAAGCTGAGGTTAGAAGCTGATTGGTTTCTATGCAGAAGGGAGTCTGATTTTGGACTCTCCAGCTTTAGTAAATAAACCCCATTGTGACGGTTCACTGCTTGTGCATGTGCACATAGCATTTGGAGTGCACACTTGCCATCCTATTTAAAACGGATGTGTCACTGAGAGAAGTTGCTGAATGGTCTTCAGCTTGTTCCCATTGTTCTGAGATCCTTTTCCATTGCATTTGCCTACCTGTGTTTGACCCAGCTTGCCCTTGGACTTCGCCTCTGCTTTCTGCCTCAATTCTGCTCATCTGGTTACCTTCAACCTTGGCCTGGTTACTGGAATTGAGTTTGCTTGCTGATTCTCTGCTGTTTTGACCTCCTGTTACCGACCTTGACTTGCCTTGTCTGCTGATTCTGTTCTGCTTTGCCCTGCTGTTACCGATAGTTGGTGGTTTCCTGGTTTTGCTCTGTCTGCTGATTTGGCATCATGCTGCCCAACGTTTACTACTTCTCTGCTCTTTGGTTTCCTCTGCTACCCTCTACTCTGATTCCAAGCTGTTGCTGTGTCCAGAGGACTATGGATTCTAGTTCTA